AGACAAACAGTAATTTATAGTTTACCAGTTGAAAAACTAAAGCAAAACTTCAATGTTGTAACAGTGACTATTGTCTTCACCCAGGTCTTGCTAACACTCTCTAGATTAACATACTAAGGAGAAAACAAACTTCCACTCAAGACAAAGCCAGAATGGATATAAATAGCAAGCTTTGGGGAGGAGAAGGGCATCGGCAGCCAAGACATATGAGAAGAGCTTCCGGATTCTGCAAGTTTACTCTGTCTAGACATAACAGAACAGCACACAGACACTGAGAAAGTCCAGCAGACCAAAGGAATCACTTCAAGCGAGGCCACCAGGGTAAAGTCATTGTGTGATGTTGCTCTGAGTCACTCCACATCACCAGCTGTTCTAGGATCTGGAGTCTGTTGGTCACCTGTGGGCAAAGAAGCCCAAGGGCACCGTGGGTGTTTTTTCCACTCTACCTTGAAGCTCAGATCAAACGTGCACTTCTAACAATAGACGGGCCAACCACCCCTCAGTCAGCAGAAAGGCTTCGCTTTCTTATTCTAGAAACATCTGGCAAACAAGAAGCCATGAGTCACAAGAGGAGTGCCCCTTTCTTCGTGTGGGTGGTCAGTTTAAACTCCTTAAGTGATCCTTCTTCTCGGCCTGACCTGAGTCTACCTGCTATCAATCGCCATAGAAATTTAAATCTGCTACCCGGTGTGAAAAAGTCTTTCCTTCTCCGAAAAAGATGGTAAATATATACGTTTATTCGCGGCTCCTCCGCAGACAGAGCCCGCGTGGTCCCTGCATCTCCTCGAGGATCCACCTTCTCGCTGAGCCACCGCCCTCCCCTACCTCGCACCCCTTCCAGCGTCTGCCCCACCCGGCCGCGTCCCTTCCCAGGCGGTTGTCACGTTGAACTAATGTTTATCTGCCCAAAGAGAATATGGACGCCTGCAGTTTCTCCTGGTAGAAACGCAGAGAACAGCTTTTGCCTTGTTTAGGTCCTACTAATATCTGGGGAAACCACCCCCCTGTTGCCAGATTTGAGGCCCCCCTCCCCCGCCCCGCGGCTTTGCGGTCCTCTCGCGCCCTCTAGTGTACGAAGGTGGAAGTGGCGCGAGCACGCTGCCGAGTCCCATAGATTCCAAGGTCCACCTACATCCACCCAAAACACTCCGGGATGCTTAGAAGTGTAGCTCGTTTTAAAGGAGATGCAAGGAAAAAATTAAAATGTGTAGGTCGCCTATTATGAGTTGGGCACTCATATTTAACTGTGTTTGCTGAACCAAATGATAAAGCACGAGATCTCCGGATTCATGGGTTCTCAACATGGACTGGGGCTATTTAAATGATCATTTACACAGTAGGATAGGAATTGACACTCTTTTGCCTGCCTCCCAAACCTATTTTAATGTTTCAGCTGGGAAGAGTTAAAACAAATTGTTTCTATATTCCAGAGGCTCCGAAAGGGAAATTTGGCGAACATCAGAGTCACCTGAAAGCTGTAAATCCCCCAAGCCCTGGCACACCCCAGACCAGGTATCTTCAAACTACCCCTTGCGGGCCACGTGCAGCCCACCTAGGACATTTATCCAGCCCCCAGGTGTTTTTGCCACCGCTGCCTGTCCTGCTTAGCAGCCGACTCGTCCTGGGGCCCGCAGTCTGGCCCTCCAACGGTCTGTGGAATAGTGAACTGGCCCCGTTTAAAAAGTTTGAGGACCCCTGCCCCAGACCCATTGAATCAGACTTCTGCTGTGGGGCCTCGGCCTCAAAACTTTTTTATGAACAGCCAAGGTGAGAGCCGCTGCTGCTGCTGCTGCAGGCTTCACTGCGAGAGGTTGAGAGAGGGGAGAAACTCGGAGACCAGGCTGAGAAGCAGAGGTCTGTGCTGCCTGCCTCCAACATTCCTCTCAGCCTCGACCTGCTTCCTTGGTGCCACCCTGAAGTCTCTTTTATCTTTAACAGTTTACAATCTCCCTTTGGGATAAAAGCAGAGTAAAAAATGAAATTATTTACTGTCCCTATGATTGCTAAGTAGGTTATTTGCCTTATCTTCTCATTCTAGGCACTGGAAGAATACTCAGAGCTCTGAGCATTTTCTCTGGCACCAGGAGCAAGCTTTCAAATGCTAATTGCCAAAACTGTATAAAATGGACAGAGACACCAGGTCAACAGGACAGCCCCTGCCTCAGGACGAATTCCTCAGGCATGAGAAAGGTCTGCCTTTCAGACCACTCACCTCAACCGCCCTCTGATACCACTTACTGCTCTTATGGATGTATGTGTTGTCTCCGTGACAGGAGGGGGGGCTGTAAAACTGAAATGAGACCATCCCAGGAGAGGTGGCAGATAGAGGGACTGGTATGCACAAGCTTCTGCCTTCTCTCCCACCCTGCAGCCCAGCCTGATCCTTTCACCCCATCCACACAATGAGGTGGGTGCTATGGCCTCTCACAGCTCAACAAGACACACAGAACAAGCTGCCTTGAGGCAGCGGGTGCCACCCTGTAGCCTAGAGTGCCTAACTGTGGAACCAGGAACAGGTGTCCCTGACAAATTAGAGCCTGGACTCAGATACCTGACACTCCTGGGTTCAAATGTCAGCTTAAGATATGGCAAAAGTCACTTGACCCTTCTCTCAGTTCTAACAAAAGATGTAATAGCCCACAGAGCTCTAGGAAAGGTAAATGAGGAAGCCGCCCATAAACGCCTGGCCCCAAGCAGTGCACAGACCCAGGGCCTCCTCCACCTTTTTGTGCCTTAGAGATACCACTTCTGCCCCTCCCACAACAATGTGCTCAATTACTCCGGCTTACCAGGGGGGTATACTTTGGAGTTCCTTTGAGAGGAGTCTGGATCTCACAGTCTGGGAGGAGATATGAGCAAGGAGAAAGGCCACTGGATGGGCAAGAAAACTTGGGTTCCCATCCTAAATCCAGAGCCCTTGCCAGATGCAGTGGCTCACAACAATAATCCCAGCACTCTGGGAGGCCAAGGGGGGAGGCTCATTTGAGGCCTGGAGTTGGACACCAACTTGGGCAACATAGCCAGAACCCCATCTCTCAAATTGAAAATATTAGCCAGGCCTGGTGGTGTGTGACTGTAGTCCCAGCTACTCAGGGATTGTTTGAGGTTGCAGTGAGCTATGATGATGCCACTGCACTCCAGCCTGAGTGACAGAGCAATATTAAAAATAATAATAAAGTGTATGGTTTGAAAATATTCACAGAGAATATGGCGTGCAAACCATCATCACCACATTCAATTTTAGACTGTCGTCATTTTATCATTTTCATCAAGACGAAATGAAACCCTGCACTCTTATCACCCTCCAATCCCTAGAATCCACTCCACCCCCCCGGTTTTAAGAGGCCACTAATATACTTTCCATCTCTACAGATGTGCCATTGTGGACACTTCACATAAATGAAATTTTATGTTGTCTTTGTGACTGGACTCCTTCACTTAGCATAATTTTCTCAAGGACGGCCCATGTGGCACGTATCCCTGCTTGATTCCTGTGGCTGAGTATTCCATTTTATGAGGAAACCCCCGTTTCGTTCACCCAGTCACCACAGGTGGACATTCGGTGTTTCGATTATGGTGAACAGTGCTGCTATGAACACTCACGCACAAGTTTGTATTGACTCACGTGTGTCTTCAGTTCTCGAGTACATACCTAGGCATGGGCTTGCTGGGTCCTGAGGTACTAACGCCATCAAACCTTCGGAGGAGCTGCCAAGCTGTCTCCCGAAGCAGCTGTACCAGTTTACTCCCCCACCAGCAGGCACGAGGCTTCCATTCCTCTGCACCTGGTACTTCCATTACAGTGGTACCACGTGGAGTAGAAGAAATTAATCCAGGGGGACCCTCCAGGAAAGGCTGTGCCAGAACAATGTCTAAAGGTGACAGAGACCAGCACCGGGGAGTGCAGACGGCTGTCATGTGGAGGCCACACTGGTGCATCACACGTAACTCTGGTGTTGCTGGGGGGCGCTGGCATGTGTGTGGAGACACTAGCGTGTTGTATGGGGGCACTGCCTGTGTGTGTAGATGCTGGTGTTGTGGGGGGGCACTGACGTGTGGGGACACTAGCATGTTGTATGTGGGACACTGGCATGCGTGTGAGGACATTAATGTTGTATGTGGGACACTGGCATGTGTGGGGGCATTGGCAGGGTTGTAGAAAAGCACGTCCAGCCCACTTCTTCCCTTTAGTTCACGGAAGACTTTCTGGACGGTAAAAGAAGTCCGCTTCCAAGTGATCTCACATGTGCCATTGCTGACAAAGCTCTATACTCAAGCTCTGTACCTCCATGGCCCCTATAAAGCTGTGTCCCAGGGCTTCAGTGAAAAGCCGCTTCCACAGAATTACAGCTCAGAGTTCCTAGGAGGTCACTACCAGTCTCCACATTCAGGCAGACACACAGAGAGCCCTCACACAAGTGGTCTTTTACTTTCATGGAATACCTTAAATCACCCTTCACGTCTTGGTTTCTGTCCCCTCAGGCCACGTCAGCAGTGGGAGGTTTATGACCCATGAACTCAGTAACCAGATACCTACACAGGCGGATACCTTAGGAAGCTCTGGCATGCCCAACGCACCAGCAAAGAGAAAACCAAAGAAGAAAAATGGGAGGAAGGAGGATTATGTGGTGGTAATTACAGAATAAGAAACTAAATAGTGCCATTGCTTTAAACTGCTGCCTCAGAATGATTTTAGGGGAATGGTCGAGGAGGCAGTGTGTGGCCTGTAAACAGTGCAACCGGCCAGGGTTTCTTGCAGGGGGTCTGTGACTTCATATATATACATCAAGCATTGCCTACAAACGGTTCTTCAAATAAATGTAAATCTGCTGGGGCTGATGAAACAATACTCACCTGTAAATATTTCTGAGTACATTCTTTTTTCACTGTGTATAGAGAAAATATACAACCAAAGTGCAACAGATATCCTGTGGGATTTGCAAAATCTTTAATGTTCATGGGGGCTTCCATTTTGAAAGATATAAAGGAATTAATGTATTTAGATCCCAAAGGTCTACTAATAGGGAACAGAAAAAAGAAACTCTAGTATAGCACAGGGGTAAGTAAACTATGGCCCACCACTTGTCTTTATAAATAAAGTTTTATTAGAACTCAGTGTGCAATTTGTTTACATGTAGTCTATTGCTGCTTTGCAGTATAGTTGGGAGAAATACTATATAGTTCAGAAAGCTCAAAATATTTACTATTTAGCCCTCCACCAAAAGAGTTTGTCCATCCCTGCAATACATGTTTTTGTTTTTTCTTTTTGAGAAAAGGTCTCCCTCTGTCATCCAGGCTAGAGTACAATGACACAATCACAGCTCATTGCAGCTTCGAGCTCCTGGGCTAAACCATATAAAATGCACTGCAGCTAATAAAAAATAAAATTAACACAAATGATACACACAAAAGATGTTCAAGATATAATGAAAACATTTCATTTGAACTCTTGACTGCCTTCTGAGGCAAGTGGGCTCCATTTACCTGGTCTCCAAAATAAAAAAGGAATTTGAGTTCTGGGGAAGAATAAACCCTTGGAAGGGATAACGACTCTGGACAGCTGTGACGGAAGACTGGAGCAGTACCAGTGAGTCCTGGCTGTCCCTCTGGGGTTCTCTGTCCCACTGCTTACACAGGGGGGGTCCCCTGAGTCCACAGACTGCTAAGAGTTGTGGAAGTGGCCCTTTTCCCCCCACCCTGGGTCTGAGGAAAATAAAAAACAAAGAGTAAGGGCAGAGACCAAAATATCACCAAGGCTTCAGATCTACGATGAATCCCAGAATTAAGCAGACATGCCCACCAAGGCACAGCTGGGCATGCCAGGAAAGACGCTGGAACAAAGCTGAAGGAGCCTATGGCTGAGCCTCTCCTTGTTCCCAAAGGAATAATAAGCCCTGACTTGGGTGTGCAAGGCCAGCAGCAAGTCCAGAGGAAAATCCTTCATCTTGGAAACCGTAAGTGGCCCCCAGAAGGCACTTGAACATCCACCTCAGTGTGTCCACACAGGGTAGACCTGGGGCTGAGGGCCACCCTGGCTGGGACCCAGGACTGCCTTGCACTGGAAGCCACCCACCACCAACCTACCCCTTAACCCAGTGGTATCAGAGCATCTTAAAAGCATAAATGCTTGACTTTGACAGCTGCTGAGTCAGATAAGAAGCAGGCCCTGTGGGGACAGGCCACACACAGAGGCTGCCTGGCTCCTGGTCCCTCGAAGTCTGCCTCTGTCCTTGCAGCTCAGTACTGTCCTCTGCTTCCTCCTGCTGGTTACTTAGCAGAGTGTCAAAGATGCCCAGCAGACAACAGATCCATCTCCACCAGCAGCCCCACAGCCCCAGGACCTGTGGAGCCCCTGCACAAATCCTTCTGTCTCAGGGCAACTACCACTCTCGCCAGTGGAGTCACTCCTAAGAGTGCAGTGTCTGCAGGACAAGCAAAAGGAAAAGGATTACGTACCTAATTGTTTAATGGAAACCACTCCTTTACTACCAATGATTCTAAGTAAGTTTAGTCCATCAAATCTTAGTTTAAAAAAGTCTAAGTCAGACCCACCAGTGGAGGTGACCACATAGGTGCAGTCAGGGCAAAGCTGTTTGCAAATGGCACAGGACCTCAGCAGATGCCTGGAGAATCTTCAGCTCCTCCATCCACAGCATTTCCACCAAAGTTAGTTGGTTTATCAAAGCTACTTTTTCATCCTTCATATGAGAAACCTGCAAGTTATTTTTTAATTACTTTTTATCGTGGAAAAACATATATATATATATAAAATTTATCACTGTAACCATTTTGAAGTGTACAGTTAAGTGGCATTAAGCAGGCGTAAGTTCATACTGTTGTATAACCATCACAATGACAGAGTTACTGTTGTACAGCACACAAAACATACAACAGCAATAACGAACACTACTCAACAAGACACCACCACGTGTCAGCATGAACACAGCTGAGACGCTGATACACCAAGGTTAGGAAACCTTACTGAGCTGTTAGTACAGTGCTGCCAACATAAGCTCACGGTGGCAAATTTGTGAACTTACTTGTGTTTCTGTGTGCTATACAACAATAACTCTAATGGTCATTCTGAAAAAAGAGTTTCAATATTGCTTTGAAGGATAGACTAGGCACTGGCATCAGTGCACAGCTTCCCAACGGGAGTACTGCACAGGTGATATTCAGCAGTGAGGTCTGTAGCACTTTTTCTAGGATGAATTTGCGAACTTAGATTGTCAGATCTCATAAGTTCAAGAGATCTACTGTACATCATGGTGACTACAGTTATTAACAATATATCATATACTTGAAAATTGCTAAGAGTTTTTTTTCTTTTCCAGAACATCTCGCTCTGTCACCCAGGCTGGAGTGCAATGACACAATCACAGCTCCATGCAGCCTCAAGCTCCTGGGCTAAAGCAATCCTCTTGCATCAGCCTCCTAAGTAACTATGACTATAGGCATGTGCCACCAAACCCAGCTAATTTTTTGGGTTTTGGTAGAGACAGGGTCTTGCTACATGCTCTGGCAGGTCACAAACTTTGGCCTCAAGCAATCCGACCACCTCAACCTCCCTCAGTACTGGGATTTTAAGTGTGAGCCATTACACCCAGCCTCTGTGAGAAATTTTAAGTGTTCTCACCATAAAAAATAAGTATGTGAAGTAATGTACATATTGAAACATCTTGATTTAGCCACTCCACAATGTATACACATGTGAAAATATCACATGGCATACCATAAACATATACAATTTTTACTGGTCCATTAAATATAAAGAAAAGAAGAGGTACAGCCATGATCTTAACTGTCAAAAATAAGAGATTACATCAACATTTATTTACTTATGACACTAACAAGTAATCTTATAAAATGTGCTATCCCTAATAACACATACACAACAGCAAATACTTAATCAAGACATTTCTTTAAGTAAAGGATGTAATACTCTAGGAACATACCTTCTGAAGCACAGCATTAGTCTCCTTTATGAAATAACAGCATATTTTCTGGGCTATGTCCAAACTTGCCTTCTCATTTGTATCTGAAATTACTTCCCCAAGAAGTACTTTTTTCCAGCATGTACTAGAAACAAAATTAGTAAGGTAATTTCAGCAGGTTCTCAAAAAACAAAGAAGCGACTCTCTTCTTTTACACTACAGCACATCACACAGACTTTTCTCCTGTCTTTCCAGAAGCATACAAAACTCATTCCATCAGCAGATTCCTGAAACCTCCACGCCACTGGCCAGCCCTGTGTGGAAGCAGGTAAGGTATGTACGAAAGAAAAGGTAACCATGAATAAAAAAAAAGGCAACTGGGTGCTCTTTGCAGATAGGGATTGAATTTTCATTGCAACTCTTGTGTCTGGTGCATAAGTCAGTGGAGTCACATCCACCAGCCCCGGGAATAAGGCGAGAGACAGAATGGGAGACCAGCTTACAGCAGAAGGCCAGAGAACTAAGAAGCAAAGGTGGGGAGTTCCTTCTCTTCAAGTGCCAGTCTGCCCTTAAAAAACAGCAAACTGGAACGTATTTCACAAAGTAAAACGCTCTGCATACAACAGTAGAAATCAAGGACAGCGCCTGTGGCTCAGAGGAGTGGGGCACGGGCCCCATATACTGGAGGTGGTGGGTTCAAACCCGGCCCCAGCCAAAAACTGCAAAAAAAAAAAAAAAAGGAGAAATCAGTTACTCACACATCAATATTAACACTGCATGTGGG